AACATGCACTATCTCAACGACGGCCTGTGGTTGTACACGGCCCCCGGTAATGCGGCGGCCGAGAAGAAGCCCAAGGACTGATGATCAGTGTGAGACAGGGCGGGGCGATTCCCAAACAACTGCCGCACTACTTCTTTGGTCGTTCGGACAAAGAGACACGAGTTCACCCCCAGCTGATATCTCGACATCCCCCTCCGCTTCTACTGCTTTGGTGTTTGTGGCCGCTCACGTTTCGTTACAGTGTAGCTGTGGCGCCGGACCACTGGAGATCGCAATGGCACCAACGCCAAGCTCCCTCAATAAGGGTATGGCTTTCCCCGCCTCATTGGAGCACAACCAGCGCCCTGATGTTACAACAATAGTATCACTTCGGACTGATCTCTCTGATGTTACTTCGTCAGTCCCAGTCTTCTTTTTCTCCCTCTACGACCGCCGTGGTTCCTGCTCGTTGCTGACGCCACTCTTCTCCCTTCCACGCAGGCCGTGCGAAGCGAAATGGCTTTTTCGCCTAAAGCTTTATTGGTGGTGCTGGGTATGCACTCTCTCCCCCTCGTGCGATAGCTAGGGTTTCGTTGGGGGGATGGGCTCGCTCCCGCACTCGCGTTATACGCTGGACGCGCCGGTGGTGGCAGCTTCCCCGCCGCCGATGAAGATGCCGGAGGGCCGCTCTTCCGTCTCTTTCTCCTTCTCCTTCTGCAGGAGGGGCTTCGTCTCCCTCTCCATGAAGAGCGGCCTGGTCTCCTGCTCCAGGAGGGGCTTCGTCTCCTCCTTGGTGCCCGCTGGCGAACCACAGATGAGACCATAACGGGTAAGCCACCTACCGACCTACCTCTTCTCTCTTGTTCGGTGCAGCAGAATAGAGCTGGGATCGATGTACCTTCGGGGATCGGTCCGCCCTCCTCTCCGCGCTGGACGGTGGGTCCGCCGGCGTACTGCTGCTGCTGCTGCGTGCCGCCCCACTCCTGGTAGGTCTGCTTCTCCTGGTAAGGCTGCCTCTCCTGGTAGGGCTGCTTCTCCTGGTAGGGCTGCTTCTCCTGGTAGGGCTGCTTTTCCTGGTACGTCTGCCTCTCCTGGTAGGGCTGCTTCTCCATCGTCTCGCGGCGCTCCCCCTCGCCCATCTGCTGCGCCCGCCGTTACACCAAACCACGCCATATGGGGTTAGACCACCTCCACCGTGACGCGCGAAACCGACGACGAAGAGCTGAGCCGAATGTACGCTTCCGCGGCCGGGCAAGGGAACGAGCACGTGGAGCACTCCGTCCTTGAAGCTGGCCTTGAGCTGGTTCATCTGCGTGCCCTGGGGCAGCCACAGCCTACGCCTGAACTTCTCTGCAACTCACCCACACACCACACACCGCACACACGGCGTCGTGGTGTGAGCAGCGTAACAGCCATCATCATGAAGAGACGACGCGATCGATGGGGCGCTCTACGCGACAATTGCTCCTCCTTGCGCTCGCCGCTCAGGATGAGGTCGCCGTCGATGATCCGCAGGTCGATGTCCTCGCGCTTCACGCCGGGCAGCGAGGCCTCCAGCAGCATGCCCTCGTTCGTCGCCAGCGCCACGCACTTGGGTTGCCACATCCCCATTCCGCCTGGTGCCGTGTTCGTGTGTGTGTGTCGTGTGTGTGTGTCGCGTGTGTCGTGAGTGTGCGCACGCTACGCTTGTGAGCTTATGGTGGCAGAGTTCAACCTCGGGCCAGGCTGAGGCGCTCTTCGGTCGGGATGTTGCCGAGGGTGGTGCCCACGTCGTACGAGCGGCCGTAGTCGAGCCCGCGCCCCACGGTACCCTCCGCGCCCCAGCTCATAGGCCTCTGCTCCAGCGGATACCCGCCGTACCCGTAGTACCCGGTCTCGTACGTCGAGGCACCGCCCGGCACTCCCTGCGCCAAGCACGCACACTACACGTCAACCAGGAGAGCTCATCACGCCGGGATGTAGACCGTCTACGAGTGAGAGGTGCCTCACCTGATACTGGTAGTAAGACATGCTCCTGGATGATTGTGGTGTGGTGTGGTGTGATTGTGTTGTGCGCTTGTGTGTGTGTGTAACGGTTCAACTCTCAGTTCGCTCTTACGCACGTGCAATGGCCGAACGTTCACAGCCAGAGACCGTCAGAAATTCCGCAGCATCCCTCCGGCTGGCTGTCTCTTCTCTGTGTGGACGCACCCCCCCCCGATTGGCGCTCATCCATCAACTACCATCAACTTCCCGACACCCTCGGCCATTGTTGCCTAATTTCCCGACCTTTTCTTTTGGCTTTTCTTGAGCACTTTATGTGGATAAATCTTCCCTATTGGCTGTCAGTCTTCGCGCCAACGGCAGCGGCGGGCGTGGCGGCCTCGTCGATGGTGCACACGTCGGTATCGCAAAACTTCTCGGGGTAGGCCTCCTGCGGCGCCTCCGAGCGGCGGAAGTCCGGCTGCTTGAAGTGGGCGAGCATCTCCTGGTAGGTGGCCTCGTCAATCTCCTCGTACGGCATCTGCGGGTACACCCCGGTCGATCGTGGCTGCAGGCAGGACGTGGTCGAGGTTTAGTTGTTGCGTTGTGTTGTGTTGTTGGTGTTGATGGGTGGTGTGGTGTTGGTGTTGATGTGGTGGGAGGCGGTACCAGGAAGCTGATGCCCTTGAGCTGGTACTGGTAGTAGTCGAGGGCGTGCTTGAGCTGGCTTGCCTCGGTTTCCGGATCAAAGGTCACGGTGCAGCTCACCTGGTTGTCGGCCCAGTGTCGCTGCAGGAAGGAGGCGAGGGCGAGCTGCTCCCACATGGACAGCTCGTTGGCCTTGCGGATGCCCTTGCCCACCGACACGGGGAACTCCACTACGGCCGTGTTGCTCTCCGAGCCTACGGCCGGCTCCACCTTCAGCCCGGCCTCCTTCAACGCCGGCAGCAGGTCCGAGTTGCTACTGAGCCGCACCCTGTGTGATTCGGACCCAGCAACGCGTTAGTTGCGTTAAAGCACCGCCGCCGCACGACACACACGACACGACACGCGGGCGTTGCATTACCTCCTGATGTACTGCGACGAGATGGGGTAGTGCATGCCCGGCGTGGCGCCAGCGAGAAGCGACACGGTGCCGCTGGGCTTGATGCTGGTGACCTTGATGGACTTGGGGATGGCCAGCCAGTCCGAGTAGAGGTCGTCGTAGTGTCGGATGGTGTTGTAGCCCTCCTCGCACCACACGCGCAGGTTCTCCAGACCGCGGTCGCTGATGAACTGGGCGATGCCGCTCATGCTGCACCCGATCCGGCGGTTGCGCAGCATCACGCGGTTGGTCTCGGGCCAGTGCGTCTTGCCGAGGGTGACAGTCTTGCCGTAGAGGTAGGCGAACTTGAGCGTGCGCTTGAAGTCTTCGAGGGACTCGTGCTTGCCCGGGAACGTCTCCACCAGGCAGCAAAGCTCGTAGGGCTCCAGCGTCTGCTCCAAACAGGGGTTGCCTCCGCGCGCTCGGCTGTCTCGGTTGTCCTGCATCGTCGGCCGTCGATACGTGAGCCAGGCACACGTCGGTAGTGGTCACTGATCAAGGTTGATATGTCGGAGGCCGAGACGTACCACAACACCGTTCATACGAGAGAATGCCTGCATGTTGTCCAACCACGCGATGCCCGGCTCACCGTTGATGGCTATTCGCTTGCAAATATCATCGTAGTCCATTCCAATGTGGGCCAGCACCTGTGGTTGTTGCATGCGGGTGTGAGAGATCAATCGGATAAGAGCGTGTAGTGGTGCGTCGCGGTGGTAAGAAGTGAGTGCACGCTACATACCGAGTTGTTGCTCGTCCAGCCATACGCCGCCCGCTGCGGGTTGACGCCGTAGTTCTTCAAATCGAGGTACTCCTCCAGGTGAGGATCGCCAAACGCGATTTCCGCTGATCGACGGACCTTAAGTAACCAAAGCACACACCGCCATGACTGTGAGCTCAACAGGTTTTTGAACCAAAGCGCAAAGCGCCAAGAGCCCAATGAAGTGTCGTACGTTGCCGGAAACCACGCATCGTCCGATCAAGTTCATGATGTCCACGATCGTGGTCACCGAGATGGGTTCGCCCACTTGCTTGTCCAACACCTCCCGGAGTGTATGGTGCAGCTGCTGCAGCGATTCCGGTCCAGAACTCACGCCGCCGAATCCCTTTGCAAAGAAACGGCAAAGTGTCAGGCCGGAATCGGAACGAGGTACGGCACCGTCGATGGCACCGTCGCTCAAGAGCGGAGCAAACGGTCGAGTAATTACCTTAATGGGTTCTCCGGCCTTGCGTATGAGGCTGTAGTCGAACTCGGGGCAAGGGTTGCCGTGGAAGTACGAGTCCAGCAGCAAGCGCACGGACTCGACCCAACCCTCGCGCGAGTCGGGAATCTTGACCAGCTCGGGTGTCCGATCTCTGCGACTGCCCTTCACCACCATGGAGCCCGCTCCCTTGGTATCGAAGCCCACGCCCACCCTGCGGCGCATGCAAGCCAGACGCGGTTCGTGAGCGCGTCTCAAAAAGAGTCGGCGCTGAGAGCGCAGTATGTGTGTGTTGTGTGTGTGTGTGTGTGGTGTGTGTGTGGGAGTGTAGCCACCAAGAACGTACCCGAGCATGGAGGCGTCCATGAGGAACACAAATGGCTTGGAGGCATCTTCGCGCATGGCCTCCGTGCTCACGAAGGCGCAGTTGTTCAAAGCGGCGTAGAGGCCTCTCTCCTCGGTGATGTTGCTGCCCATGGCCCACAACCCCCTGCCTAAGTTCGTCGACTGTACGAGTCAGAGATGCTGGACCAGCTGGCAGGCCGAGAGGTGCACCAGAGGCGAGGCGGGGCGGGGCGCAGTGTACCGGGAGGCAGGAACTTCATCTCATAGATGCGTGTGTACATCTCCTGCGCACTCTTCTGGGCCTTCCAGGGGTTCCACCCGAGTTGGTGTGTTTCTATCCACTTCTTTTGCATGTTGTAGGTGCCGTTCACAACCCGTTCCACCGTTTCGTGCCTTCGCGCGGAAGTGAGGAGTGTGTGAATGAGAAACTGCAACGGCATGCGTTGTTTGCGATGTACCGACGGAAAACCGTACCATTCTTCCTTCGAGCCATCTTTCTTCAGGCGGGAGTAGGTCCTTCTGTACACGAATTCTGATTCGGATTCGGACATGAGATTACCGTGGGGTGCGCAGATTAAATCGTCCGAATTGAATGGATCATCGTACCTCCCAAGCCGTTAAAGCCGAATGGTGGTTGCTTGTCCTTGAACTTGGAGACAAACTTGGAACTGAGACGGAAGGGCGCAGACGCGCGCTGATCGAAGGTGTGAATGTCCATCTCAAGCAGCTCCTCCTGTTCCTTCGTGGTAGCTGCCGCTGGCTTGGCAACAGCAGGAGCGGCTGTGGCCGAGTAGTGGGCACGCAGAGAAGGGGCGGGTGACGTGGAAGAAATCAACATGACCAATCGATCTTGGCCACCGAGCAGCGAAGCCTTCCGCGATGAATGGACGTAGCCACCGACGAATCGGGAGAAACAAGCTCGCGGCGTATGAGATGCGGCGCCAGGGAGACAGACCGAACCAGGTGCCCCGGCCGATGAGCAGCGTAGCATTTTGTGTGATCGCGTTCCGTGAGGCCTCAATCGAAAAATATAGCCTGTTTTCCTGGAAAAATTAGAAATAAAACGAAATGGAATGCTGAGCAGCCACGAAGACCAAGACCACGGCCGTTGCCGTCGCCTGAATCCTCTCCAGCCGACGCTCTGAAAGAAAATAGTCCCATTTTTACGGTTCTTCACAAAGAGGTGCACTAGGGCAGGGAGTGGTGGCAGGTGATGAGTTCAAGAGTCGCCATTCCACTCATCGTTGAACTGGTCCAGGAACTGGAGCATGAATGCATGCCTAGAGGAGGGCAGTGGTGTGAGTGTGTGTGAACTACAAGCCGTGGTGATCTCAAGGGGATGTGGGTGTGGTAGAGCACCGTTTCTCGGCCATGCGCTTTCCGGTCTCGGTGTTCATCATGTCCTTCAGCTTCAACAGCTTCTCATGGAAGTGACTGGTGAAAAGAAAGGATTAGGTGCGCGTGCGTGTTTCATGCGCAGTGTGGAGAATTACTTGATGGCTGAGCCGTTTGGGTTGGACACGTATTCTTCCTTGGTCATTGTGGTACGCGGAGGGCACGAAGGGTCGTACAACGGCGTACCCGGTCCTGCACCCACACCGCAAGAGAAGAGACAGAAAGGTCGAAGAATGTGGGTTACCAGGTATGCACAAGTGGGTGGACACGGAGCGTACGCTTCGCGCCTGAGAAGGTGAAGGTGCGCGCAACTCCAATGGCACCGATCGCGTCCAAGCGGTCTGTACAGAGACGACCCAAAAGATGAGCAAGGCGGACAGACATACAACCCCGCGCATCGCCACCGGGAGCAAAGCCTGACCTGCATCCTGTACGATGGCCAACTCTGGCCGAAGAGGCACGGCGTGATCGCGCTGGCCGCTGCTGGACAGCTGCTCCTTGAAGCCCATGTTCCGGATTACCTCGAGCACCGCGTGCCGCATCTCCTCCGTTACTTCCTTTTCGCCCTCAAGGAATTGCTGTCCATGTGCCACACGACACACACGGCCGTCAACACGCTTGATGGCACATCGTGCCAAAGTCGTGTATTGCGTACTTGGGCGTGCGACAGGGAGGGGTCATCAGTGGGCGCGCGGTACTTCCAATCGTCGACGTCGTGTAGGACAGCAGCCAAGTCCACCACCGTCTCGTCGACCGCTACGCCGCGTCGTCTCTCCTCGTCGGCCTGCCTCCAGCCCGCCAGTGAGTAGTGGCGAGGACCACAAAAGGCGGGAAGGGGGTTGTACAAGTCGACGAGCGGTGGCAAGAACGCGGAGGACGTGAAAGGAATCGTGGGAGGCATCGACCTTGTGCTGGCCGGCTCCCTGCACCTTCTCCACCAGCGTCAGCGCTCGTGCGACGATGCCGCTCACCCCCACCGGAGCTGTTGCCATCTTTTGCATGTTTGAAGATTCCTGGTCCTCCAAACAGCAAAACGAAACGAAATATCAAATTGCAAACATTTCGCAGATATTTCGAATCGGTTGGGGAGACCATCACCGCGTCGCAGAGCTACGCACAGTTCAAAAATTGCCTGGCGCCACCTGGGCGCTGGAATGCTGCGCGCCCGACCGTGATGTGGCGGCGACTTCTTCATCTTCTTGGGGCTGCGGCCCTCTGCGGCTGGTTTTTCGGAATAGAGCTACACCAACCCGGTGCCGTGTGAGCGCTTGACGGACAGTCATACTTGCACACAACACCCCACAAGCAGCTCTCTACTGACAAGCGGCCATGGGTTTGACGCAGTCCCAGCCTCCCTCCGAGGAACAAGGTGCCCGCGGCCCCCTTTTGCCCTCTATCGTGGTGCAGCTGCATGTTTGCTCACCTCAAGTCCAAACAGAGAAGAAGGACCGTAAGCGCCTGGCGGTGGTGAACGAGATAGTGCAGACCGAAGACACCTACTCCTCTTGCCTGGACATTATCGTTCGGTACTACCCCCCCGGGTTCTTTTTTCCACACCGGCATCTTACCGAAGCCCCTTCCCTCTCCACCAAGTGTCTACCAAGCGCCGCTGGAAGAGGCTGTCGCCCAGGGCAAGCCCATCATCACGCAAGAAGAGGTACTGCCCCGCAGCGCGAATTTTCCGCCTCTCTTTTGTGTTTGGTTTCGTCTCTCCATTCTGCCATTGGTGCTTGCTATGTGCGTGTGAGCACGTGGTGTGGTGTCATTATAACTTCAATTTGGGTGCCAGGTCGTGGCGGTCTTTGCCAACATCAGGGAGATACAGCAGCTGCACGCCAACTTGGCCAAGGAGCTGCGCGACGCCCAGGGTGGAGCAGAAAATGGCCCCTTCACCCACGTCTTTGTCAAATATGTACGCAAGCAACGCAGCTTGCTCTCTCTCTCTCTCTCTCTTTTGCACATCGGCTTTGCGGCCTGAACTGATCGCGCATGTTTCCTTTGGCTCTGCATACGTACAGGTCAGCTCCTTCAGGATCTACACTGAGTTTGGTACGAAGAAATGATATCCTATGCTCTGTGTTGTGATTATGTGCGCTTGGTGGTGGTGCACTAACCGCGCACACTCGATCGCAGTGAACAATTACAACAACTCGCTGGACAATCTGTCGCGATGCCAGAAAAAGAAGAAGGGCTTCCAGCAATTCCTTGCCGATGCCAACAGGTACTTTTGATCTGCGACCCATGACCTTCTAGTCCTCAGCTGATCTTCTTCGGCACATTTGCCTCACCGACGGCAGGCATTCCGATTGCCGCGGCAGGGATCTGCCCACATTCCTCATCACGCCCATCCAGCGGCTGCCGCGGTGAGCACCTCCTCGCTTGAAGTGAGATGGTGGTGGTTAATCACCAGCAGCGCTGACTCTTGCCCGCGGTCTCTTCACAGATATATTCTGCTGCTGCAGGAGCTGCAAAAGCTCACACCGTCGAAGCACAAGGACTACAAGAACATCGGCAGAGCGCTTAGCGACATCAAGCAGATGACCGACTACATCAACAGGTTCGCGCAAGGCGGTGAGCTTTTTCGCAAATTGCATAGGACCCTAACGCTCCTTCTGTTGTGAACGTGCAGAGAGAAGCAAGTAGCAGAGATGTACCAAAAGCTGCTCCAAATCCAAGAGGCGTTCGTCGACGACATTGTACGCTCTCACACTAGGCTCCAATCGTCGTCTCGGTGAACTCGCACTTACTCCAGTGCTGTGGTGATGTCCCTGCACACAGTCCCTGCTGTCCAAGCAAAGGCAGCTTGTGCAGGAGGGAGAGTTTAACTATCGAAGGAAGAGCAAGAGGGGCTTCAAGCCCGGCTTGCATTTCTTCCTCTTCAACGACATGCTTCTACTTGCTCGCCCGAGGTGCCGCTCGACCCTTTTAACGCACGCACACACGCACGCTCTCTTCATCCGTACTCAGACGACTCGCTGCTCCAGGTCTGCCGTTGGCCGAGTGTCGTCGCTGATGACGGGTTCCGATGCGTCGTGGAAGATGTCGGCCTACTCGCAGCTCTCGCAAGTCGAGGTACAGGACATTCCAGACTCCAAAGGTACGTGCGCGTCACACCCCGGCTCCGGCGAACTCGCCCGCTCACCTGGCTTGGGCCACAGATGAGGAGTTTTGCATTCTCCTCGTAATTGCAAACAAGGAGTACGTGGTCAAGTTCGGCTCGCAGCAGGAAAAGGAGCAGTGCATGACCCTCTTCTTCACCACCAAGTACGGCGCCCGCTCGACAACCACGCGACTTGCCGCGCTGACAGCCAATCCTTGTTTGATGTCGTGTGTCGTGTTCATCAGGTCCAAGTCTCATCGGGTGGCCTTTGTGGACATCATCGCTGTGTCGTCGTCGAGCCGCTCGGTTCCGGTGGCCCCGAGAAACGACGGTCGAGCTGCATCTGAGAAGGACAAGCTCGCCAAGGAGAAGGAGAAGCAGGCCAAAGAGAAAGAAGAGAAGAAGAAGAGGGAGACCATGAAGAAGGAGAAGGGCAAGGAGAAGAAGGGAGACAAGAAGAGCAAAGGCAAAGGGAAGAAGGAGGAGCCGCCGGCCGATGCACTCACCTCTATCATGAACGGCTTCTCGTCGTTCTACTCCTCCATCTCCGGTCCAGCTCCCGAGGAATCAAAGGGCAAGAAGAACAAGAAGTGAACCTCCACACCTTCTTGAAGGCCAAGCAGCAATACACTATTTATTTATTTATTTATTTCCTAATAACACCGAAGGAAAATTCTTTTCCTGTAAATTATTTTTGAAGATGACAGATGGAGATGGCCACGCGTTCTGCCCTTTTTGTGGGCTCTATGGTGTTGACTTGCGGGACCGACCTACGGGGGCGAGACTCGCGAACACACATCGGGTAGCTTCGGCCTTTTTCGTTCCAAAAGATCCGCCTCTGAGTGGGAGCGGGTCCCCTTCCTCCGCTAGATCTCCTGTGTAGAAATCAGGTTCGGCTCCCCTCCCGCCAATCTTAAATGATCAATTCCTTAATCGCATATCTGCGTAATGCAGTAAATGTGGCCCTGATCCCTGAGACATCTTGTTGCCTCTCCCCTAACGTTATCGCCACACCACCATCCGCAACTCGCTGCGCACGTGCGAATAGGATGCTTCGCAGGAAGCGGAAGGGCAGCAAGCCGGACACTGAGGGCGAGCCCCCAGCTACGGAGCCGCCCTCCCCGCGTCCCAGGGCCGTCACCACCGACAGCGGGCTGCTCGCCAGGGCGATGGTCAGGGAGAGCACGAAGAGCGAGCAGCGCACCGGGGGAGGAACCGACGACGAGCGGGAGGACAGGGACGGCAGCAAGAAGAAGGGCGGCCGCATGATGGACCTCAAGGAGCTGGTGAGCCAGACCAAGAAGAACTTCAAGGGAGGCTCCGGCACGCTCTCGCTGCGATGGACGGCGACCAAGAAGAAGAGCAGCATCGCCTCGTCCCTGTCGTCATCAGACCTGCGCGTGCACTCCTCGTCGGTCGGCGAGGAGCTGTCGTCCGACTCGGACTCGTCGCCCGAGTCGCCGGCCAACGGGCTCAATGCGCGGCCGCGGACGGAGAGGAAGAGGAGCAAGCTCACCACGGACGAAGGCGAAGACCTGTTCGATGGGTTCCGAGAGCGGCCGATGTCGAGCAGGGGGTCGCGTTCGGCGTCGAGCTCGCACGAGCACATGAGCGTGGAGGTGGGCAGCAACGAAGACAAGGGCTCGCTCAAGGCCAAGAAGGCCAACCCGCGCAAGCTGCTGACCGATCGGCCGGCGAAGCGCAGCGAGCTCGGCGACGGCACCGACCAGGAGCTGTGCGGCAATGACAGAGCGATTGCCAGCCTTCAGCTGCTGCCAGTTGAGGTACGCACAACCGCGCACATTGTGTGCGCCAACACAGCTCTCTGTCAAAACCCACTCACCTCTCTCTCTCTCTGTGTGTGTCGCACAGGCCCTCGAAAGCAAGCGAGCACGCGGGTCCTCGATACCTGGCGTTCAATGCGATCTGCCGTCAGCACCGATTCCTCCCCCTCTCTCCCTGCCCGAGCCCACCGCGACGGCCCTGCCCCTGGGGCAGTTCGGCCTCCTCGCAGCGCCCATCCCGCCACCGCTCGAACTCCCCATAGGCCCGGCCGCCGCCAACTCCGGGTCCACCACCAAATCCACCAAATCCGCCTCTCCGCGCATGATGATTCTGCTTTCGGCACCGCTGCCTCCACCGCTCAATCTCCCCGCGCCGACCACCACCACGACCACCAGCTCGAGCGGCATATACCCTGCGCTGCGGCCCTCTGCTGCGGCCGCACCAGGGCGTCGGGCCACCTCGCCGCGTTTGTCCTCCCACTCGGCGCCCCTGCCGACCACCCCGCTCTCGTCCATCCCTCCCCCCGCGAGCCCGCTTGCAACCTCCGGCTCGAGGCCCACATCCGCCGCCACGAAGGCATCAGCCGCGCCCAAAAAGCCCTCGCCCTTGTCCGCGAAACCGCGCCCCGTGCTGCCTACCCTGCGCCTCCCGATGGGAGCCTCCGGCGGCCTCTCGCCCCTCTCGAGCCTCACGTCGCGAGCAGTCTACACCCCGACGCCGCAGTCCCCGTCCCTGTCCCTCGTCTCGCCGCGCTACGCGCGCTCGCCACTCAACAACAGCAACGAGGGCCGGCGACTGCTCACGCCCAAGCCCCTCGGCACCGTCCGCTCGTTCGAGGGGCGAACCGAGTCCGGAGGCGACCTCGACAAGGCGCTCGAGGAGATGATCTACTCCCGCTGGGAGGAGTACGACAACATTCGAAGAATTCGCAGCGGAAACCGAAGGTCCGTCACCCGCCCGCCCAAACCAAACCAAACCGGAGGTCGATGGTGTGCTGACGTCAGCACTCTCTTTGCTTTTGGCGCCGACAGGTACAGGCAATCGACGCGGATGAGCGTGCTCTGCGAGCCGGAGGCCATCGGCAAGCTGGAGACGGACGCCAATGTGTTCCTGGGCGCCATCAAGGAGATGGTCAAGCGGCGGTCGCTGAGTCGGCTCTGCGAGGAGACCCAACCGGCGCCAACGAGGGCCACGAACAAGACCCGCCGGCGAAAGGAGCGGGAGATGCGCATGAGCCGAGAGCGCAACAACGCGGCCCGGGCTTCGGTGGGGCCGGGCCGGGTCCGCTACTCCATGTGCCTCTCCTCCTCCGACGGCCTCGAATCGTCGGTGGACGATTCCTTCTCCGACCTCGTGTCCCCTCCGTCTTCGTCGCCGCTGTCGTCATCGCTCGAGGTTCCACCACCTCCACCACCTCCGTTCCCGCCATTGGGCCTCCTTCCTCTCAGGTACCGGGCTACATTATTTATTTATTAATTGATTTATCATTTGCAATTTGTAACGTGTCCGCTTTGGCACCTGTCGCGCAGCCCGATTGCGGAGGAGGATGGGAAGTGGGGCGTCAACATGCTGTCGAGCGAGCAGCCGCAGGCCTACGAGGACCTCTTCACGCTCACCCCGGCCGAGATCGAAAATGGTGACGCATCTCCTTCACACAGTGCCTCAGTAGCAAGGCTGACCTGCCATCAAAACCTTGTGTGCGTGTGCGTGTGCGGTGGTGCGTGTGCGTGTGCGTGTGCGTATGCGTGTGCTGGCGAAACAGTGCCTGGCATCTATCGGTGGCGGATAGAACACTTGGTTCCCGTGTGGATCCCGCAGGACGATGAGGACCACCCGGCCAACCACTTCTACGAGTCCGACTGCTACCTGGTGCTCTACGTCGGGCGGACGGACGAAGACGACGAGCTCGACGACGGCTCGCCGCTCAAGAAGGACGCGGCGGCCGGCGGCGACAAGGAAGGCGCGATGACCTACAACCTCCACTACTGGATCGGTCGCACGGCGAGTGTCGACAAGAAGGCCAGCGTGTGCTTCCGGGCGGTGCAGCTGAACAGCTACATCGGCGGCAAGGCCAAGCACTACCCCGAGCAGCACGGAGAGGAGTCGGCCACATTCCTGTCATACTTTCGGCGAACTTCGCACAGGCCCTCCCTCTCGGGCAGCGGCAACATGCGAACGAGGAGCAACAGCGCCAGCGCCAGCACCATCGCATCGGCGTCAATGGCGCCGACCACCACCACGACCACCTCGCTCTCGGCGACGTCGGCTCCGATCTCCGAGACGCACGACATCGTCTATCTCGAGGGCGGGACGGACAGCGGCCTGCGTCGGGTCAAGGGCGTCGAGGAGTACGACACGGCGCGGCTCTATCGTTTCTTCACCCTGGAGGACGACGACGCGGACGACGAAGACGAGCAGGCCTCGTCGTCGGACGACCCCTGGCTTTTGTACGCCTACGACGAGTACGAGGCCGCGGCGAGGAAGCGGAAGCGAAAGCGAAACGGGCGCCACTACTACATCCAGCTTGTAGAGCTTGCCACCGCCTCGCTGAACGAGCGCGACGTCTTCCTGCTCGACACCGGCGGCTATCGGCTCTACCAGTGGAACGGCAAGCAATCTAGGTACCTACCTACCATCTAACCTACACCATCGTGTGCTCACCGACGGGTGCGTTCCATGAAGGCTCACAATTAATTGTTGCGCTGGACATCAGGCAATGGCTCAACCTGGTGTGCAACGAAATCCTGCTGATGATGAACGTGATCGAGCGGAAGAGCCTCGCGCAGATTGAGGTGCTGAGCGGAGGAGAGGGAGAGGGTCCGGCCGTACGCAGGAAGAAGAGCCTCTTCTGGCGCTACCTCGACGGCAGCCACAAACGAACAGCAACTGCGGCGTCCTCTCCTCAATCTGTCACCAGCGGCGGCAACGGCGGGCAGAAGAATAACGCGGCCGGCGATCAGGGACAAGAAAAAGAAGAGGAGGAGGAGAAGGAGGAGGTGCCGGCCAAGACGGAGCTGAAGGAAGAGAAGGAGGAAGAGGAAAAGAATCAGGTCCGGCACCTGACAGAGGTGGACGACGATCTCGCAGGCGTTGGGCGGCATATTGGAGATCCTGGAGGTGCGGGGCGAGTACGGCTCGATGGACCTCCACACGATGTGGGTGCAGAAGAAGCCCAGCGTCCTGCGCGCGGCGGCCTCGACCACCACGCTCGGGCACGAGGAGGGCCTCAAGCCGTCGCGGAGGATCCTCTCCTCGCAGGGCGTATTTATTATCGATTGCACATCCGAGATCTACGTGTACAGGTACTACATCCATCATCGCTCTCCATGCCCTTCCACCAGTGCCTTATCACCATGGCCTCATATCGTGTGTCGTGTGTGTGTGGTTGTGTGTCGTGTGTGTGTGTGTGTGTGTGTTGTGTGTCGTGTGTGTCGTGCGTGTGTGTCGTGTGTGTGTGTGTGTCGTGTGTGTGTGTCGTGTGTGTGTGGTTGTGTGTCGTGTGTGTCGTGTGTGTGTGTCGTGTGTGTGTCGTGTGTCGTGTGTCGTGTGTGTTTTGTGTGGAAAGTGGGCGCAAGTCGACGCCTTACTCGCGACAAATAGCGACGTTTATCGCGAATCAAATGAAGGACGACGACAACAAGGACGACAGCCGGCGACCAGTGTGGACCATCACCATGGAGGTGAAGGAGCGGCAGGAGCCCATTCTGTTCAAGGTACCTACCTTCACCCTTCATCCTCCCCCAATACTGTGACACTATAGGTCTGGCGTGACAGAACAACTTAAACCGCACGACTCCTCACCAGGCGCGATTTTCCGACTGGCTCGACACGGACGACAGCGGCAAGTGGGGCGCCAAGCAGAAGGTGGCGCCCAAAGATTACCGCCCGTTCCACGAACGACTACTCGACGAAATCAAAAAGGTAGAGGGCGCACCCACCCCACAACGCACTCACAACCTCTCAAGACCCGCCCGAGTTGCTGGCCTCTCTGACCGATTGTCGCGCGTCACCGCACACGCACACCCTCAGGGCAAACTTAAGCCGCCAGAGCAGCCGGATATCGACGTCGCTTCCCTGTTTCCGCCCGAGACCCAGGGCGCACAGCACGCGGTGGCGCCGGAGCTCTCCGCGGAGGCCTGCGCGGTGCCGCCGGCCGCCGGCGAGGTCGACGAGATACTGGAGCTCCTCAACCGGGTCCGGTCGAATTCGCAGAGCTCTGCCGACGACAACGCGCTGACGGACTCGAGCTCGGTCGAGGTGGGCATCCTCTCCGGCCGCACCTTCAGCAAGCTGCCCGAGGCCGAGGTGGGCCACTTCTACAGCGGCGAGTCCTACGTGGTGCTGCACGCGTTCCACGACCGGGCCAAGGACGCCCGGCAGTGGGTGGTCTACTTCTGGGAGGGCAAGGGCGCCTCCAAGCTCAAGTGGCCCACCTTCCAGCTGGGCATCTTCCCCGCCCTCGGTACGACGAGCATCGCAACAAACACCTCGGAGGCCTCCTGGCTCGTACCACCTAACGCGTTGGTGCGTGTGCGTGTGCGGTGGTGCGTGTGTGTCGTGCAGAGGAGAAAATCGTGAGCTCGGGCAGTGGGGCTCCTGCGAAGCGACGCATCTACCAGGGCGAGGAGACGCCGGGGTTCATGAGCCTGTTCAAAAACAATCTGATCGTCATCCGGCGCGGGCAGCGCCCACAGACCGCGACGGCCGCGGCCACCATGGAGATGTTCGAGGCCAAGTGTCAGCCGGGCGACTCGACCAAGCGGCTCGTGTCCGTCGAGTGCAACCAAGACTCCCTCCGCTCTTCGGTATATAGACCACCTACACACACGCACCACCGCACACGCACTGCATGCTAACTGTGACTTGTTTGTGCAGGGAGCCTATGGGCTGTTCCTGCCCTCGGGCAAGGTATTTATTTGGCGGGGCAAGCAGTCGCTGCCGCAGTCGACCGACGCCCTCACGTGGCTCATCGACGCGGCCACGGCGGCCCTGCAGAAGGACTCGCCGGCCCGCACCGGTGGACCACCGCGGTCGCCCTCCACCGGCCCGCCGTCCCAGGAGCGCACGTCGGCCGATGCCGCGAGCGAGCACCACGAGTGGCGCAACGGTGTCGACATTCATTTCATCGCCGAAGACGAGGAGCCGTCAGAGTTCTGGGCTGCGCTCGGGTGCACCGCCTCGGCCCGCGCCCGCAGCAGGAGCGAAGCCGCCGGAGATGTCGCTTCAGCGGCCGACGGAGGCGAGCGAGGCGAGAAGTCGGGCGCTGCGGCGCGGCTGGTCAAGTTCTGCTACGACGGGGGCCGGTTCACAGCAGGGGAGGTGGTCAGCTTCAAGCAGCGGGACCTGCTCCAGAACTGCGTCTATCTGCTGCGACCGCACACGGCGCCCGCGGCCGAGGCGCCGCTGTATCTGTGGCTGGGCCATCAGGCCACCGACCGACTGCGCGCCGCCGCGCGACGCACGGCCGAACGCTACGTCGCGCATCTCATCCAGACCACCACCACCACAACGACGACGACAACCACCACCCTGACGACGCAGGTCGAGAAGAACGAAAGCGACGCTCTCGACACGAACAAGAGCGAAGCGGCCGGGCAAGCGCCGGTGGTTCGGGTCGAGGTGGAGGAGGGCAGCGAGCCGGGCGAGTTCACGCGTTACTTTGCCGAGTGGGCGGCCACGGGCTTCGTGGACCCCTACGAGCTGCGGCTGATCGAACTGCGGAAGCTGGGCGCTCTCGCATTTGATTACGTCGCCGCCGACGAACAGCTCCGCGAGCCGCTGGTGAGCCTGGCCGACGACGCCGACGACGCTGAAGCTGCGGCGGCGCTCGAAGCCGAAGCCGAAGCCGAGGCCCAGCCGACGCCGGAGGAGTTGGAGGAGCGCAAGAAGCGCGAGCGCGAGGAGTTCATGCGCAAGCTGCGCGAGGACCGGCTCCGCAAGGAGGAGCGCCGGCGGCTGCGCGAGAAGAAGGAGGAGGAGGAACGGCTGCGGCGGCGCGAGAAGCAGGACCGGCTGCGGGCCAAGCTCAAGCTGCTCGAGCTCCAGGTGGTCCACTACAAGGTCGACCCGGACGACGAAGAATACGAAGAGTACCCCGACGGCAGCCAAACGGCGCACCCGACGCCCGAGGCCTGGGGCATGGGTGGTGGTGGTGGTGGTGGTGGGGCCGACGGCGACGAGCAGCGGCGGTGCGACAGCGCGCGGGCGGCTGGGTCGGTACCGGCGGTGAGCCGACAGCGCTCGCAGTCGACCGACGTGGCGGTGGTGCGGCTCAAGGAGCGGCAGGACCAGTTCATCAGCCGGCTCAAGAGTAGGTCGCGCTCGCGCATCTCCTACGCGGGCAAGGACCGCAGCTCGGCGAGCAGCAGCGTCAACCTCCTACTCCAGCAGCAGCACGCCGGCCGAAAGGGCAGCGACCCCGCCGCCACCGTCGAGGCTGCCACCATCGCCGCCATCGCCGCCGTCACTGATGGCCAAAGTGAGACGTGAAGGCAAAATTATTATTACACCGAGAGCCGTTTTGTGAAACATAAACAGAACAGCTCCACTGCTGTACAATATTACAAGATCTTCTCATATTGAGAGCTTATGTTTCTATTTAGAAAGAAGTACAGCCAAGCATGCTTGTCTATGGGCTGGTTGAGCTAGTCAGGGCCTGGTGGATGGAGCAATAGAGCGACAGATCTCTCAAGTCCTTGAGGCAGCATCATGATGATGAAGAGGGTAGAAGAGAAATGTTAATTTTGATGAATAGTTAGAGGGGAGGGGTGCGAACCTGGATGTGCTGGAAGAGCAGGATGGCGTCGGCCTTGTCGCTGGCCGGCAGCAGCTTGTCGACTTGCTCCTCGGTGAGCCGGATGAGCGCCCGCCCGTTGAACTTCGTGAGCGCGGCCCGGTGCTGCCCGCACGCGACGTCGCGGTGGTCCAACCACTCGCCCACCCGGTCGCTGGTCCAGTGGAGCGGGTCTTCCCGGGCCAGCGCCAGCGCGTGCGCGTGCGTGCCGGCCGGGAACGGCGGCGGGAACGGCGGCAGATAGGGCGACGGCATCGGGAACGGGAACGGATAGGGCGACGACACGTACGGGTACGCCGACAGCACCGGCGACGTCGACGTCGACCTTGGCGTAGACGACGATGTCGATGATGACGACGACGATGGCGACGTCGAACCCGAGTCAGCGGGTGAAGTGGTGATCGACGGTGATGAAGTGGTGGTCGGGTGGTGGTGGAATCGAGGGAAGAAGGCGGCCGGGTTCTGCAGAGCGAAATAGGGGAAGTGGAGCGAGGCGGCCGCGGGCACCGAGGCCGGATCGAACGCCGCGGCCTGCGGAGAGGGCGAGCCGCTGGTCCAGCCGCTGACCGCTGCTGCCGAGGCCGCCGTCGGTGCCCGCGGCGTCGTTGGGGCGGGAGGGGAGCTGAGCGACAGTGGGCTGCTGCTGGTACCGCTCGCCGCGGGCTGGTAGCGCATGACGCCCGGGTGGGAGGTGTGGAGGCCCAGCGCGGTTGATGACGACAATGACGACGACGACGACGGTGACACGGTCGGCTGCCGGTCGCTCGGTAGAGAGCTGGACGGGCGCGCGCTGCTGTGGGCGATGGCGGACAGGATGCCCTCCGTCCGATCGCCGTCGACCGCGCCGTTGGCTTCGCTCTCCCGATGCAGAACCGCCTTCCATCAATCGAAGACCAACCGTCAGCACCATGAGCGTGTGTGCGTGTGCGTGTGCGTGTGCGTGTGCGTGTGCGTGTGCGTGTGCGTGTGCGTGTGCGTGTGCGTGTGCGGCGGTGTGTGTCACTGACCTTGTCGTAATCGGCGACGCCGGGGCAGAGCTCGGCGAGGAGGGCCTGCAGCCGTGCGACGATGTCGTCCATGTTGGGTCGCTTCTCGGGCTCGTGCTATGCCGAGGCCCGCGAACAAAGCGTGAGCCAACAGAGGGCCGGGCAAAGAAGAGGGGCGGAGGTGCGTACGTTCCAGCACTCTTCGATGAGCTGGCGGTAGGCCGGGACGCAGTCGTCGGGAATGGGCGGACGTTCGCCGGTGAGGATCCGGTCCTCCAGCTGAATCATGAACTTGACCTGCGGCGAACGAACGAAAGAACGAAGACAAGAACAAGAACCGTGTAGTTTTAGCTCCGATCGTGAGTAGTTTAGCTCCGAGAGAACAAAGAATGAAGAGTGTAGTAGAGGCGTATAAAAGTGCGAGAGAACGTGAACGGCGGTGTGAGTCGTGGGCATACCTCGGAGAAGAGCTTCTGCTGTTTAGTGAGCAGCTCCCACAGGATGATGCCCATCGAGTAGACGTCGGCCTTGGTCGTGTACTCCTGGTTGCGCATGATCTCGGGCGCGAGCCACACGGGGCAGTCCACCTTGCGCCCCATGGCCGACTGCATCATCGCCGCGGAGAGCCCGAAGTCGGCGATCTTGGCCAACACCGGCGCATCGTCGTCCATCGACACCAGCTACAATCACGAGAGCACCGTCAGACACCATCGCACGCACACGAACCGCCGCACACAACACCATCGCACACGCACACGCACACAGAGGCAGAAAGGAGATGTACGAGGACGTTGGGCGATTTGAGGTCGCGGTGGACGATGGGCGGTGAGCAGCTGTGGAGGAAGGCCACGCCCTTGGCGATGTCCTTGGCGAGCCGGAGGCGCAGCGACCAGTCGATCACGCTCTCCTCATTCTGCAGCAGCTCCAACAGCCTGCGTGATACGATTCATTAGTGATAGCGTGAAAGGAGCACACAACCCGAGCTCACCGACGACACACACGCGACGTGCGACACGACACATGGGTGGAGGGTTGAAGACGCACGTTCCGCCGCTGACAAACTCGGTGACGATGCAGTAGGAGGGCTTAGTGCAGAACCCGGTCATAGTGATGATGTTGGGGTGCTTCAGGCCGCTGTGTGATTTCACGCACAACGTCGTATAACCCAACATATCAGATATCCTGCAGACGTCTTGCGTTGCGTTGTCTTGCGTTGCGTTGCGCTGCGCTGCGCTGCGCTGCGTTGCGTTGTGTTGGGGTACCTCATTAGGAAGACTTCGTTCCTGAATTCGTCGAAGGCCTTCAGCAGTCGGTTCTCCCGGATCTTCTCGTCGTTGAACTTGAGCCGCTTGATCGCCACCTGATGAATGCAGTCGGCAGTTACCACCCCGCGTCCGTGCGTGTGCGGTGGGTGTGTGCGACGATGTGCGGTGGTGCGTGTGCGGTGGTGCATGCATTACCTCTTCGTTGTTGTAGATCCCCTTGTAGACCACCGAGAAGGAGCCCTCGCCGATCTTCTCCTTGATGTCCAGGCTGGCGTAGTTGATTTTGCTGTGAAGCAGTCGACACAAGCACGCGTGAGCTCATGGTCGGCTGTCACGAGGCACATCAGCGGGTAGGTACTTTTGGGCGAGGTCGGTGAGGGCGATGTCGGGCACGAGGTGGTCGTAGCGGACTGCGATGACCGGCGAGCAATAGGCGTGGCTCTCCCCGCGCATCACAGCCAAGCTGAAAGTACCAACGAACAGCACGCACAGCACACGGTTGAGTGTCGACACCCACCCACACAGGGGGACGAGCCAAAAAAACGGAGGCTCTGAGCTGTACCGGCACTCCTCGAGATCGAACATTCGAGGCCGCTTCTTGCCCCACTCGAGGCAGTGCACGCACGGCACCATCACCTTGGTCTACGCACGCACATCAAAAAAGTTCGTCAGCTTTTTCCCCCTTCCTGGCTAGGGCCAGTGGTGGGTACGTACCTTGAGGTTGTACCAGTCCGCCACCAGCGAGTCGGCGCACCCCACGGCGAGCGAGAACAGCGACCGGTTGGTGTTACCCGCGTTGAGCCTGTCCACGACAGACGCACAATATTAATATCGAATAAATCAAATAATTGAAATACATAAAATACAATAAAATGAAAGAAAATGCGGCGTACTTGTCCCGGCTGGTCCGCAGAGAGATCTTGATGACCTTCGACCTCTCGGACCACTCTAACGCGATCTTGTCGTTGTCCACCACCGCCACCATGCCATACCTGAATAAGAAGAAGATGAAGTCAGCAGTGTGTGTCGTGTCGTTGGTCGTGTGCGTGTGCGTGTGCGTGTGCGTGTGCGTGCGTGTGCGTGTGCGGTGGTGCGTCGAGGAGGCGTACCGCCAGTAACAGGTGGCCTGGAGGTCGAGGGAGAGGAGGCGGACCATGATCTTGGCGAAGAAGCCCTTGGGAATGAAATCGAACTGGTAGTTGCGCCCGAACTCGATGCACTCGGGCATGTCCCCGGGCTGCTTGCGCATGGGCCACAGCGACTGCAGGTCGTCGGGCGGATTGTCCGGCA